ATAGCCAGGGTAAAATAATTGAGTGCGTGTTGTAAGTGATCAGTAACAAAAAATTCTCAGAAGTGAAGCATCACGACTTTTAAAGGGCATGTTCAGTTGGAAATTTTAAAGGGGTGCACGTGGCTGTGCTGTAAGGTAGCTTGTTCCCGGAGCAGCACGCTAAAATTTTGAAAGTCCCTCTCTTTTGTCCTAGTTTCCTCCCTGGAGTCACACCTCGAACAAAGGTCGACCCCTCGATGTGCCTCGACAATACTCGACCTATCGACTTCGAGCGAGAGATCGGTTATCTCGTTTTCTAGCAGCCGATCAAACAAGTAAATAATGTAGGATATTTAGTATTTACGATGTGTTTACCTTCGTTTTTAAAGCTTATCCTCATGTACATAGACAGAAAGCTAATAAATCAGGTCTCTGGTACACAGAGAAAATGATATCTTCCTAGAAAATGGCTAGTAAGTATTACGAAACGGAGACTTTTCACTTATTATTAGGTTATGCTGCTTGTTGCCTTTAACTGACAGAAAAACTGTGTATGGACTGACTGGAATACATGTCACTGTCATTTTTGTCAGTTTAAATGTATTTCACTCTGTAACAAGGGTGTATACGGTCTTTTCCCTCGTTACCAATGCAATTTAATGTTCATTAATTGTCATGTTTGGCCAATGAAATATTTATAGTCAGTGCAACTGTAAGGATCTTGTTGATCTCTGGAAATGTAGGCCTAAGCAACCTGTAATCTAAGTTTTTTTCTTGGTTTTTACCTAGCAATGCCTTCTCATAAAATGACAAGAGTAGAAGTGCGGCCTCTTGGCCGCCTTGACCGCAAGTGGCTCAAGGTGGATCTTCAAAGCACCTTGAGCCGAGATGGATTAATACGTCTTTGGAATGAAATGGTTAGAGATGGGGAGCTCTCAAGGCCTGGAATTGATGCCTACCTAAACGCAAATGGAGTTCCAACTCACAAAGGTTTGTAGAATTTGTAAACAGCTGTCTGACAACTAGAAATTTAGAGATAGTGTTTACCATGCTTAATTATTTTTAGGTGAGACTGGACGCTATTATTGTGGTCTTAGAGTTTTAAATTGCACATGCTGTGATGGAGTCTGTGGACCACTTGAAGGCTGCAATTGCCCGCCTTGTCAAGCCATAGACAATGAAGAATTACGACGGCTGGAAGCAGAAAACAATCAACCACCACCCTCACAACCACAGATCTCATCCTGGACATGGGGAGGACAACCAAGTATGTTCAAAGGGTGTCTACACTAGATTTATATTACTGTAACCTTTATTCATAATGGTCTCTATGTCTTTCTACAGCACCTGAACAGCTCAACCAGGTTGTGCTGTCCCTTAGAAAAGAACAGATAAATCTTTGTCAAAATGCAGCTGCGTCCACATTATCATCAAGACGTTTGCGTCAACGCTTAGCAATTGCACACAGAGTTTTAGTTGCAATCGGTAGACAACCAACAACAGAGAAATCAGACGTCCAGCAAAAAACTCCAGCCCAGAAACCTCAAAAAATACGGTAAGTTTAACTTCAATCAACAATGACTGTGCAACTCAACTCTACTTCTACTTCATTGATCTTTTCTTCTTTTTAGCTCAAAACCCGCTGAAAAAGCATCTACAAGCCTTGCAAGGGTTGGATCTCGGGCAGCATTAAATTTCTCTTTTGCCTTCCTGAGGAGAGCATGGAGATCAGGTCTGCTTTTGCACTAAACAAATAACTCTCTTTACAATTCTGTTCTGCAATTTTTTTTAAAGGCATGTTTTTCTATACTTTTTCTCTCTGTAGGTGAAGATGCTGATCTATGCAGTGAACTACTACAGGAATCATTAGAGGCCCTCCAATCCCTGCCAGAAGCAACCCTATTTGATGAGTCTGCCGTTTCACCAGTTTGGTTGGAAGTTGTAGATAGATCTGCTCGTTTCCTACGTCAGGTGGTCTTAGGGTAAGATACTTTGGTTTTTCCCTGTATTCTGTAAATATCTTCTTGTGTAATTTTTTGTTTTTCTCCAAATCAATAGTGATGGCCAAGGAAGGGGAGAAGTTCCTCGTTCTGACCAGCACATAGCCTTGTGCCTTCTACTTGAGTTAGCAATGCAGAGAGGAGCATTGTCAAATATGTTAGAGGCAGTATTGCTTCTCTTACAGTTATGGGATAAAGGAAAGAAAGAAGCTGATAATAGGTAAGATTAGAAGGGAGAAGGTGTACACTGGGAAAACCAAACTCTTCCTCAAACAGCACACCTAGAATAAATGGTAAAATCATTTTAAATCAATTTCAGGATCACATCATCAGGCACAAGTGCCCCATTAGTTTCTCTTTTAAGAAGACTGGAGCACGCTTCAGCAAGCAAAGTACACACTGCACCAGATATGTGGGATGACAATTCTCCAAATGTTGTAAGTGCCAACTACTGCTTGCCAAACCATCACTGCCTTTGTCTTTTAACAATATATTAACAATTTATGTTTTGTTTCGGATTCAGGTCAGCCCTAATGAGTGCTTTCTTAGTTGCTTAGAATTACCTGAAGATGAGAGTATTCTTGTAGATCTGCGTCAAGCGGCTGTTGTTTTAATGGCTCACTTGGATCGTCTTGCAGCACCATACCTCCCTCAGACAGCCCTAGCAAAAGTGAGTTGTCTTACGTCCGTTTTTAAACCCTTTTTCAGAACATATATTTTTCTCTTTTAAAACAAATTCTTAATTGTTTTTTGGGAAGCAGCAAGGAAATGGTCGACAACAAGAGGTCAACTGTTGGGGCTCAGGACCTACCTCCTGTGTTATAGAAGCTATCGCTGAAGTTGGAGTCACACAAATAGTCTGTTCTGAAAGTGGAATGCTGGTGTTAGCACACACTGGGAAAGTTTATTCTTTGGCGTATGTTCCAGAATGTGAGGTAATGCCATCTTAAAATTTATTTTCGAGACTTTTCTGTAATTTTATGAAGGAAAAAGTTTTGTTTCACCACGTTTGTATTTGTTTTATTTTTCACAGGCATTGTGTGGAGGTTTGACACTTGTTGAAGGTTTTGGTGGGAAGGAAGTGACCCGTCTGGCAGCTCATGTGGAAGGAAGACACTTCTTGGCCCTCACTCTTGATGGGGAGGTTTATTCTTGGGGAGCAGGAGATGGCGGCTGCTTGGGGCATGGAGATAAAACATGTCGTGATGAACCAACTCGTATCCAGTCATTGGCTGGTATTGTTATTTCTCACATTGCCTGTGGGAGTAGCTATAGGTAAAGCAACTTCTCTATTTTCCATTTTAATTATTTTAAGTTTTTTTCCTAAGAAGAGTATTTTAAAAAAGAAATTTTCCCGTTTTTAGTGCTGCCATATCATCGCGAGGCGAACTATACACTTGGGGACGGAACTGCTACGGATGTCTAGGGCATGAGAGCAGTGATGACAAACTCCTACCACTTTTGGTTGAAGCTCTGAAGGGTCAGAGAGTTGTGGATGTGGCCTGTGGGAGCGGAGACGCGCAGACATTGGCAGTGACGGATTCAGGACTGCTTTACTCCTGGGGGGACGCTGACTATGGAAAGTTAGGTACGTCAATGGTCCTTTATCGATTATTCATTCACAGAGCTCATACACCTGCCTTGAACTTACTCGAACTCGACCGCGCCTCTCGACAGGACGCGGCGGCAGCGACGGCTCAAAGTCCCCCAAGGTGGTAGACAAGCTGCAGGACGTGTTCGTGACGCGGGTGTGGTGCGGGTCGCAGTGCAGCCTGGCGCTGACCCGCGGCGGCGCCGTGTACTCCTGGGGCCGCGGCGACGCGCATCGCCTGGGCCACCCGTCGCAGGACCACGTGCGCTACCCCAAGCTGCTCGACGCCTTCCAGGGCCAGAAGGTGGTGGACCTGGCCGTGGGCGCGGGCCACGCGCTCGCGCTCACTGACGACGGCTCCGTGTGGGGCTGGGGCCGGGTGGAGGCCGTGCAGGGCAGCCACTCGGGGCCGACGGCCTCCAGTGGCCTGGGTCCGCCCGTGCTCGTGGGCACGCTGGCCGGCAAGGCCCCCGGCGCCGGGGTGGCGTGCGGGCCCGCGCAGAGCTGGGCGTGGACGGGGCTGTGCGGCACGCCGGCCAGCGTCGAGCCCCGCATCGCGCTCGTGCTCGACCTCGGCGAGGACACGTTCCGCCTGCTGGACCAGCTGCTGGCCAGGGCCAGCCAGGGCGTGGCGGGCTCCGACTGGCCGCCCACGCAGGACAAGGAGTGCCTGGCCGTCGCCTGCCTCAACCTGCTGCACCTGCAGCTGCACGCCATGACCGTGCACGGCGTGGACCCCCGCTCCACGGGCCTGGGCGCGGGCTCCGCCGTGCTGAGCTCGCTGCGCTCCCAGGTCGTGGAGCTGGCCAGCGCCAGCGGCGTGCTGGAGTCCATGCAGCTCGCGGCCCAGGCCACGCTCCAGAGGGGCTGGTCCGTGCTGTTGCCCACGGCGGACGAGAGGGCCAAGACCTTGTCCGCGCTGCTGCCCAGCTCGGGCCCCAACGCCAACAGCCTCAGCGCCGGCCACCGCTTCATGACGGACCTGCTCGTCAGCAGTCTCATGGCCGACGGCGGCCTCGAGGCGGCCCTCGTCGCTGCAGTACGAGGCGAGTCGCGTCCAGAGCTTTTCATGAGGTGCAGTCCGTCTTCAAAGAGAACGTAGTGCGACGATTGATTTCTGGTATTGTTTACAGTCGAGCTGGGGCTGCTTGCTGCGGATGGCTCTGAAGATAATACCGTCCCAGGCGCTACAATTTCATTGCTCCATCTCGTGAAACAGCTGTTGAGGAGTGGCTCAGCGCAAACTTTGTCAGCACTTCAAAATCTGACGCCCGTCCCCAAAGAACAACCTAGTCTTAATTTATTGTTACGTTTTCAAAGACTTTTAATAGCTCAAATATATCCCCATAGTCAGTCCAAGGCTCAGTCAGGTGAGTGACTGCACAACGATAAGTATTTGCTATTATCGTGTTCTGTTACAGAAGGCAAATTTTATTCACCTTATTTGCAGATCAAGACGCTCTGGGTGCAGAGTCTCTTCTCAAGAAATATATTTGCCAGCTGTGTCGCCATGCCTCTGAAATTCTAACCGTGGCCTCCGAGATCGCCGCCGGGGGTGCCAAGCACTTTGCGGCCGTTATGGCGGTGCTGCGCACCGACGTCATGTGTGAGTAAATTACTCAGGTCGTATTCTTAAACAATTCGAACGACTCTTAAAACGCACAAACGAATGCCGCAGACGTGCTGCTGCCCGAGCTGGCGGTGTGCCTGACGCTGCTGCAGCAGTCGCTGCCGCTGCTGCTGCACACGGTGGACTGGCTGCAGCTGCTGGGCCCGCTGTTGGACGCCCTGGACAAGCTGAACCGCCTGGCGCCGCAGCTGGACGCGGCCGAGCACGAGGACCTGTCCTGGCCCGGCGTGCCCGTCCTCGGCCCGCTGTACGGCGACTCGTCGGGGCCGGACGCGCTGCCCCTCGTGCGCGGCGTGGACGTCGAGAACAACAACCGGGACGGCGGCCGCTGGGTGCGCGTCGGCATGCGCGTCTACGATATGACCGAGTCCAAGTGAGTCTGCACGACAGTCCTCTCAGAAATGAAACTGACGTGTTTCTACTCTAATCGCCGTCCCTTCGCAGGAGCGTGGATCCCCTACGCGCGCCGCTCGTGGGCAAGTTTCTGGAGGGCGACCTCGAGGAGCACGACGGCGGCGCGCTGCTCGCGGCGTGGACGCCCCTGCTGGACGCGGAGCGGGACCTGGCCTTCCTCCTCGGCCTTCACGCACGCGGCCTCGCCCACAGCACCCCGCGCCAGCCCGCCGAGGACGGCGCCAACGCCTGGCTGTCGGCGTCCTTCCTGCGCGGCGGCCTCCAGGGCCTGCAGCCGCCGAACCCTTTCGAGGAGGAGAAGACTGAGGCGCGCTCGGGGTTCTCGGCTAACTCCACTAATGCCACGCCTGGGACGACGCCCACCGAGGCCAAGACCCCCCAGCTCACCACCACGGACCGCTCGTCCGCTTTCCTCCAGTCGCTCGCCGAGAGCAGGATCATGGTAAGGGGTCAATGGCGTAAGTTGCGCGCGACGCTTGGCGAGCCCCCTGCAGGTAGGCGCGCCCGCCGCGCTCCCCTGCTCGACGGGCCTGCCTACCCGACCCTCGCCAGGCGCTCACTCCACCCTGTGCCTCCCCACTTCCAGGACCGACAGATCGGTGCGCTGCTGTCGCTCGTGGAGAGGTACTGCCAGCAGCACGGCCTGGTCACGCACGTCGAGTTCCTCCCGGACCACCCGGTGGAGGAGGTGGGCCGCCTGCTGCTGTCCGTGCTCATCAAGCACCTCGGCCTGGCCTCGCACGTGTTGAGGATCATCGACAGAGGTGGGTCCACTCGCGGCTCCACTCTGCTTGTTGTCGCGGCTATCGCTGTGAAAAGGACGACGCTCTGACCCTTGTATTTCCAGAACTCGAGGACGGCTCCGGGTCGTGCTCGAGCGGCTCGTCCTCTGGGTCCGCCGCGTCCCGCGGCTCGGGTGGCGCGGGCGGCGTGTCCGTGCCGCGCTTCCTCGGCGAGCTGATCCGTGTCGTGCACCAGACCAAGTGGCGCCTCATCAAGGCGCGCCAGGAGCAGAGCCGCTCCTACAAGGAGGTGTGCGCGCGCGTGCAGGAGCGCTGCCGCTTCCTGCTGTTCGAGGTGCGCGCCGCCACCAGCGCCGAGCTGCGCGCCCTGGACCGTCTGCCGCTGCTGCACGTTCAGCCCCGCTGGCCCAGGGTCGTCCGGAGGCTCATCGCCGACCTCCGCGCCAAGAAGCAGCAGCCGCCGGCCAAGCCGGAGGACATCGTCAACGCGTCCATCCAGGTTCGGAATGAAAAGTGTCTTTGCTGTTGATTTATTCCCCGTTGTGTTCACCTGACCTTGACCCCTCGCGTCGTGTCGTCTCGCAGAGCCAGGGCGCCGAGCTCAAGAGCGAGGAGAAGAGGGACGGCTGCGGCGAGCACCGCGACGAGCGGGAGCGCGACCGGGTGCGCGAGAAGGAGAAGGACGACCCCTGCATGCACCTGGCCTCGCGCATCGTCGACTTCGTCCTACAAGAGGCCGGAGCGGACGTGGAGACCCTTCGCAAGGCCATGTTCTGTCAGGTATGGCCAAGTTTCCGAGCACCCCGTCCCCATAAGTAAGTCCCGTGTTGTGACCCGGTCCTTGTTTGCCGTTGTGTCCCTACAGGTGCAGCGGGTCCGCATCCGGCGGCAGGGCCTCGGCATGGCCCTGGACCTGCTGAGCCGCTCGCACCTGGTGCCGTCCGCCAAGTACGCGCTGCTGAGCGGCTGGCAGGGGCTCCAGCAGCCCATCGCCGCGGCCGCCCCCGTCACCGGCCCCGCGGCCAGGGGCTCCTGCGGCTGTGAGGAACAAGCCCATCAAGCACAAACCCAGGCTGTTCAGCTAACGGTAAGAAGAACAAGGCAGGATTTTCGGAGCAAACTTTAATTCACAACTCTTTGGACAACTTTTCTGAGCAAAGTATTTTTTTTTTATTTCCTCCCGTTGTCTCCCAGATCGTGCAGCAGGCCGGGGCGAGCGCGCCGGAGCCGGATCCGCAGTGGCACTGCCTGGACCGCATCGAGCTGGTGACGCCCTACGACAAGGCCATGGTGCTGCTGGCGCAGGCCCGGCTCACGTCCTGGGCCGTGGCCGCGCTCCGCGACCTGGTGCTGCCCCTGCCCGTCGTGCACGCCTACACGGCCCCGCTGCCCCGGGGCAGGCCGCCGCCCGTCGCCCCCGCGCCGCCACACCGCCGCATGCCCTGGGCCCGCTTCGTGCTCAGCGTGCTGGGCATGCTGACGGGCAGCCACCAGGGCGCCGAGCTGGGCGTCATCATCAACTCCGGGGTCCTCTCCCTCGTCCAGAGCCTCCTGCGGGAGATCGGTGAGCACTTGTTAGCGTTATTTACTGTCTGTGGCTCGTCCCCGAATTGTTACGTCAATTTTAGGATTCTCAAACAGAGCGCCGTGGGGGAAATGTACCCTGCCTCCTATGAAAATGACGTAAGTTGTGCTTTGTTGGCGAGCGGATCTTGACTCTAGCGTTTCCTCCTGACAGCCGCCTACGACCCCGCGCCCTCGGCCGCCACCACGGCCGTGACCTCCACCCAGCAGCTGGCGCAGGACACCAAGGAGGGCGTCCAGGCCATCTTCGAGCCGCCCTTCAACAAGGGCATGAGCGGTCCCGAGATGGCGGCGCGCATCAAGGTGGGCTCACGCGTGGTGCGCGGCACGGACTGGAAGTGGAGCGACCAGGACGGCAACCCTCCCGGCGAGGGCCGCGTCGTGGCCGCGCTCGGCGACGACGGCTGGGTGCGCGTCCAGTGGGACAGCGGCTCCACCAACTCGTACCGCATGGGCAAGGAGGGCAAGTACGACCTGCGGCTGCTGCTGGAGCCGCCCTCGCCCGCCGAGAGCGAGCACGACAGCGACTCGCAGGACGACACCGCCAAGAGTGAGTACAGTACTTACCCCCCACATCACTTATTGCGATTTCCTAACAATAATAACAACAACCTGAACGACCTCGATACTTACCTTGGACGTTCTGCAGCGGCTCGCGGCCGGTCCGGGGAGCTGGAGATGGTCATGCTGCTGCGACAGGCGTCGCTCACGCTGCTCCGCACGCTGGCCCTGCGCAGCGGGCTCGAGGCGGACCACATGCAGGAGTCGGCGGTGCGCACGCTGGGCGGCATGCTCCGCGAGCTGGTGCAGGTCAACACGCGGGCGGCCACGGCCCCGGCGGGCGGTCCCGGCGGGCCCGGCGGCGGGCCTAGCGCGTCGCGCTCGCAGACCAACGCGCTCCTGGTGCTGGCCGCCAAGGCCAACAGCTTCCACTGCGCCGACTGGGCCACGCTGGGCTTCGTGCGGGCGCTGGCCGCCAGCCCCGCGCTGTGCCGCGCCCTGTGCACGCCGCCCTGGCTGCGGCTGCTCACCGTCCTGTCCAGCTGCGGAGTGCTGCACAAACAGGTGAGTGTTGAGCGGGGCAGATAGGGAAATGAGAACGATTCGTCGGTTCGATGTCGATTCAGGGTCGGCACAAGCCAAATCGGCGATACTAATTTGTGCCCAACATCGAGGTGTTTCTTTGATTTTCAAATGAAATCGATGTCGATATTTAATTGACATGTGGTTTAACGTTTAACATTATCCGTGTAGCGAGATGTACTATGTCGGTGGACGAGTTTGCACTGACCCTTATCCAAGCGCGTCTACTGAGCACTGTCGGCGCCTAGGTGTGGACAAGACGAGCAGCCCTCTGAGCAGATTTTCAGTCCGACAAAGGGCTATGTGGATCCAGACACTTAAGCATGTGTAGTTGGCATATCAGAGACTTCCCCTCACTCACGCCGCTCCTTTCACCTGCCTGGACAGTTGCGTTAATGGAATGTTTATAAAATAGGCGAGAAAACCTAAAAAAAACTTAGTCCTTTAAATGTTTTACTGCTCTTAGTGCACCAACCTAAATTTGTATATTTCTTATCCGTGTTTATTTTTTATTTTTTTGTTGTATTTATCCTAGTTTTAATTTTACGGTTTTTGCGATTTCTGTGCATTGTCATGAAACTGTTGCGACAATGCCTATTTTCCTCCGCGCCCCGCGAACCACCGATGGTATACGATCTCGACAGCCAAAACGAGCGCGGCCACGACGAAGCCGTCGGCGAGCAACAGGAAGGCCGGGAGCACTTGTGCCAGACTGAGGGGTCGCGTCAGGTGTTCGTCGTCCGGGCCGCCACGCGAGTCGACACTCTTCTTGTTCTCGATGATCTGGGTCATGTGCAAGTCGATGCCGTGCTCCCTGGCCAGGAGCGAGAACTTCACCACTGGTCGTTGCAAAGGCGAGCCGCTGGTATACTTGAAGTACGCGCCAAGATACTCGTTTCCGGTTTCAAAGCTGTGGAGCCGGGGGGGACTGGATTTCAGGTACGGCGACAAAAGAATCTCGGAAATTGTGTCCTTCCGTATGATCAGAGCAGAGTTCCGGCCGTCCGCCACATCTCGCACGACTGCGTCGAGGTCTGCGAGCCGAACGTAAGTCAGACGGGACCGTAACGCTTCCGTCAGGTAGAACTTGTCCACCTGGTACAAATCTCTGCTCATTCGGCAGTCCAGTCCGCTCTGCTCGAGCTGCTCCAGCGTGTTGATCTCCCCCGGCGGGGTGGTGAGCTCCTTGAGCAGCAGGCCCTGGTAGGCGGCCGCGATCACGACGCTCATGAGCAGCCATACGGCGGCCAGGGGCCGGTGCGCGGTCCTGCCGGGGGGTGGCTGGCTCAGCAGCGGGGCCAGGGTCTGCAGCAGGGCCGTGTTGAGAGCGGACGGCAGCGGAAGTCCTAGGATCGCCCTCGTCGCCAAGGTCGTGGCCATCGCGACCCCGAGCACCGCGACGACCGTCGCGCACCACAGCTCGGCGGAGAACTCGTCCGTGACCGCCTGCAGGAGGGGGGTCTGGTTCAGGCCGGCGGGGACGACCACCTGCACGGGGATCATGACAAAGAAGGCGTAGCTCACTTCGGGAGAGATGTGCACCGTGGCCGCGCGGAATGAGACGGCAGCCGAGAGAGCGCAGCACCGCAGCGTCTCCAGCCCGTCGACGGCGTCCTCCCCCTTCTCTATCCATTCGACGTGTACCGGCTTGCCCAGGGCGGCGCCCAGGGACTTTGCCATGGTCGCCACGAAGTCGACGTAGGGCCCGGGCAGCACGTAGTGATCGGGACGAACGGCGATGATCTGGGACGGTGCGGGCTGTGCGGCGGCACCACCACCCGAGCTCCACGTCGTCGAGCAGAGTGTGAATGGCGAGGCTCGTCGCTGCCAGCGTCTGTCTCTGGAGGACCACCGGTCTATCTCGGTCACGACAACCTGCCTCTTCGTGTTCGTGGCGAGCGAGAACAGGGTCGTGCCGCCAGCGCCCAGGGTGGAGACGGCCAGGGCCGTGTGCCTCTTGAGCAACCAGAGGTCACCCACCACCCCGTGTGCGAGGACACCCTGCGCGCCCTGCTTGAGCCCGGCCCGCGCGGCCCAGGTCCACAGAAGCACTCGAGGAGTCGGGAATTCAATTTCCTCGACGTCGGCCACCGTGTCCGCGAGCTCGGCCCAGCTGTCTTCGGCTATCAGCACGAAGTTCTCGGCCCCTTGAAGCTCGCAGCGAGTGCCACTGCGGACGTTCGTAGAGGATACCAGCGACCTGGGCGTCTCTGCGGGCAGCTGCCCGAGGAACGCGTTCAGTCCTTTTGCGCGGCCGAGGACAAAGACACCGCCCTGCTTTGCCTTGCCGCGGGACAGCACGGACGCCACCAGGTCGGCCATGCCTTGCGAGTCGGGGGAAGGACTCGGCCCGGGCAGGACGGCGTCGTACGCCCCGGGGCACACGAGCAGCGCGAGGACAGCGAGTAGCTGCATGGCGCGATGCTCGAGAGGGACTGTTTGGCGACGGCGTCGCCGTGGGAGCCTTTTGTCGTGGTCGCACGCTATCGTATTCTTTTAATACGATCTGGTCAGGACCCTTAATCGCGTCAAAGGTCGCCCCAACCGCTTTGTGCTGCCTCTTAACTAATAACTACTCTTCGAGGCAACTGACAGCAGAAAACGCGAAGGTGGTGGACAAAGGACCTCTTCGGGCACGACTTCCGCATGTGAACATCACATCACGTAGTTCTGTCTACAGTACGTAGATGCGACGCGACATCGATTTAAGGTAAAATGACGTAATTCACCTCGAATCGACGTAATTTACGTTGACTGCTGATTTCATGTGGGATAGACGGCGCTGCAACGTGAATGTGCCCATGGGGTTGCCCAACGTTTTATATAGGTGGTTGAAATGAGTGTTTCCAGTGTGGAAGAGTGTGTGTGTGTGTGGGGGGGGGGGGGGTGGAATCATCAAGCTAGTAACTTGAATTATCACGTGATACTCACATATATGTTAGGAGTACTGAGTTCTCCAAACTATGTCCTTTTGGTAACCGTCATTTTCAATTGTGGTTGTATTAATTTGGGTGTGTCCTGCTCAAAATGTTGTGAAACCATAACTTTGCGAATTGCGAGGGATGCGAATTCCGAATTTGCCCCGGAGCCCCATTTGTTGAGAGTGTCTTTAGTGACGGACCGCATTCTTCCCGACAGCTGATGTCGCTGAGGCTGCTGCAAAGTGTCCTCCCAAACTGGAGAGCTAGCGACACCGAGAAGACTGTGTTCCTGGAACAGCTCACGAACCAACTGGGCGTCACCGCACTGATGTGCGCCCACGACCCTGTCCTCACACAACCAGGTAAGTGCGAAAGCGCTGGCGCCCTCCACTTTGGCCCGGTCTAAAGCATTCCGGTAAAGCTGAAATACAAGGGAATGCGCGGAATAAGAAAACGGAAAGTCACCATGCTATAGCGTAGGGGAGGGTGGGGCACCTGGAGACGGATTTGTTTTTCACGTCTATAGCACAAAGATGGATCCACCCACGAAGTCGAGAGTTTGGGGAAACCAAACTGTATTCTTGACCTACAAAACCCACAAATGAAAACTTTTCTATCCCAACCCGTTCTTAAGTTACAGGCCTGTAAACCCATCGATGCAGACTGTCTCCAAGTACCCCATAGTGGGGCACCTGGAGACATGCA